CTTATTCATTTGATTTCTTCCAAATTTGATCCTGTCACATTCAGGAATTGGCAAGATAATCTTAAGCCTAATAGCTTTCCAACAATGCAAGACCTAAATGATTTCTTAAATCATAGGTTTCATATACTTGACTCTCTTCATTACAATAACAGTAAGCCTTTAGTTGCTCCACTGCCTAAACATAATGATGTTAACTCTGTCAAACATAAACCTACTTCTGCTTCTGGGTTTCAAAACAAGTCATGGTCATCACGACAGCCATGCTTGTCATCTTCAGAACCTAAATGTGAACTGTGCCAGTCCTCACATTTTTTATTTCAATGTGAACAATTTCACAACCTAGCAATACCTGATAGAATAAACAAGGTAAGAAGCTTAAATTTGTGTAACAACTGTCTGAAATTTCACAAAACTAATCAGTGTAAAAGTAAGAGTGTTTGCAAATCTTGTGGAAGAAGACACAACACTTTACTTTGCCTTAAGTCAGTATCAATTCCTAAAGACAGTTGTGGTAAGAACAGTCAACCACACTCAGATAACAAACAGTTATTCACTGGGGATAATAAACAGGTTATTTCTGTAGGCGCATCAGCCAATGATCAATCCTCTAGCAGACCAACTCAGACTATCCTTTCTACAGCTATTGTTGATGTCATCAGTCCTAGAGGTAAGATTGTTTCATGTAAGGCATTACTTGATTGTGGATCACAATCAAACTTCATTTCAGAATCACTCTGTAAGCGATTACAAGTAAACAAAAGACAGGCTTCAGTTTCAATAACAGGCATTAATTGTAATACAACTTCTGTCAATCATGTCGTAAATGTTACAGTCAATTCTAGAAATTCTGAATTCACTACACAAATGGACTTTCTAATTCTTCCCAAACTTACAGAAAAGTTACCAGGGAGTGTTTTATTCAATCATTCAACTCAGATTCCCCCTGATGTCGCTCTTGCAGATCCTTATTATTATAACCCATCAAAAATAGACATGATCCTAGGGGCTCAAGCGTTTTGGGACGTTCTTGGTGACAAAACATTACAGTTATCAGTCAATGGTCCATCTCTTAGAGAAACTAAAGTAGGATGGTTAGTCACAGGGAATGTAGAAGTAAGAAAACACGTTTCTGACGACAATCATACATACTTTGTATCATCTCTAGACTTGTTAAACAGTAATATTCAACGTTTCTGGGAATTAGAAGATTATCAATCTCAATCCACTTTAACTGGGGAGGATCTTCTTTGTGAAGAACATTATGAATCTACAACCATGCGCGACACAAGCGGTAGATACGTCGTAAAGATTCCTTTAAAGGATACTGTTTCCGATCTAAGTTTTCCTTCCACAGTTGTTGCATTATAAGTTTAGCTAAGAGAATGACAGGTCCAATTAATCCCAAAGGATCAAATATCTTGGCTATTTCCGACAGAACTTGACGTTTTGTAATGTTTTGTGTTTGAGTATCTTGTGATAGTGAATATTTGAATACATCATGAGCGGTATCCCACATTAGACCCAGTGTTTTGACTATTGAGTTGTTTATGTCTAAATTGTGTTCAGGATGAGCTTCAATATCTGATTCAGGAACGTTCTTTAGTAAATCAACATGATTTGATGACCACTTTCTTAAATGAAAACCACCCTTGGATAGCAGTTCTATAAGATCACTTTGAAGACGTAGTGCTGATTCGATTGTATGTGCTCCACTTAGAACATCATCGACATAGAAATCACTGTGCAATGTTTTGCACGCGATTGGAAAAATTGAAACTTCATCTAGTGCAAGTTGTTGGAGTGCTCGGGTTGCTAGATATGGAGCGCTTTTGGTTCCATAAGTGACTGTCTTTAGTTGAAAGACCTTAATTGGTTCAGAAGTGTGTGATCTCCACAAAATGGATTGAAGGCTGTGTTGAGAGGGATCGATTTGTATCTGACGATACATTTTCTCAATGTCAGCTGTGAAGACGTATTTATGCATTCTGAATCGGGAAATAATAGAAAATAGTTCATCTTGTACTCTGGGGCCATTCATTGAAACATCATTAAGTGAAAGACCAGTTGAAGATTTAGCAGAAGCGTCAAAAACAACACGTAATTTTGTTGTGGTAGATGATTCCTTAATAACAGCATGGTGTGGAATAAAATATGATTGTGATAAACTTTTATGAGGCATGCTAGCTGAACTGAGTTCCCCAATACATTGCATGTGACCTAGCCTTTCATATTCACTCATAAAATCCCTGTAGTCATTGTACAACTTAAAGTTTTTGGCAAGTCTGTTTTCAAGAGTAGCAAACCGTTTGAAAGCGATTTGTTTGTTATCACCTAGATCGGAAACAGTATCCTTTAAAGGAATCTTTACGACGTATCTACCGCTTGTGTCGCGCATGGTTGTAGATTCATAATGTTCTTCACAAAGAAGATCCTCCCCAGTTAAAGTGGATTGAGATTGATAATCTTCTAATTCCCAGAAACGTTGAATATTACTGTTTAACAAGTCTAGAGATGATACAAAGTATGTATGATTGTCGTCAGAAACGTGTTTTCTTACTTCTACATTCCCTGTGACTAACCATCCTAATTTAGTTTCTCTAAGAGATGGACCATTGACTGATAACTGTAATGTTTTGTCACCAAGAACGTCCCAAAACGCTTATAGCCTATATACAATTATTTCTCAAAAAGACTATATTTATCAATGTGTGATTCAAATCATATGTTTTGTTTGTTTATACATATTTTAAAAACAAACTTATAATTATTACAGTCCACTGCTACTTTCAATAAACATGTACTAGATATTTTTTATCTTTTATTTTACAATTCAATTCAATTTCACTTTACAAAAATAACTTGAAGAACATGAGCTAGTGATTGACCACCGTCAACACTAGGTAACAAAGGTTCTTTTAATTAAATCACAAATTCTTCCAGATTCACTCACAATAAATCATTATCAACACTAAGATCAGCTGTTATAAACTGTATAAATATTGTTTGGCCTTATCAATAGTCTTTTGAAATATATATCTACAGTATACTATGAAAAGTGTAAATTATTAATTTAGCATTAAAGACGGCAGACAAAACTAATATGATTATCAAAACATCAATTTCAATTTTTGTTTTCAATTTCAATATTTGTCATGAGAGCCGAAGCCCCCTGACTACATACCCGGTACCTATCGTGAGACTTACCCGGGCCCCATGATGTAGGCCGAAGCTTACGCATCAACCTTTTGCACATCATGGGCGGATGACTTTAGGTCATCAGGCTCACCGGCTGCCGAAGCAGACCCTTCGGAAAGAGGGTTGCCCCTCAATCCTAACCAGGGTTTCCGGCTACTTGTTTAAGCGTCACTCCACCTGGGTTCCACTAGGTCGGGACCTAGAGGACCATAGTAGAGCGCCCCGACGCATTTAGTGCAAGTAACACTCGGGACCTATCTAATCCCTGACAGGCAAACCCGCCATCAATAGCCAGAAGGAAGGGGACCGTCAGCAGGCTGACGGGGGGAACCCCAACCTCCCATTTACACCACTACCCGATCGAGGCCTTACCCAGTTGCTGGGAAACCAGAGATAACCAGAGCGATAGATCCCCAGATACCCCTGGCGGGCTCGGACCCAGCACCCGATCTACTTCGTTTGCCCGTCAGACCCAACATCACTGCCAGGCCATCAGGGTTTCCCAAAAGGAGGCAGGTATAGAAGTGGGACCCACCCGGATGAACCTATCCACCAGAGGTGGCGACACCCTTGACTCAATTGAGGTTCCGGGAAGAACCTCCCACACTCAAGATAACCATACCGTCCGTGCTCAGAGACAGGGATTGGTTTGCATAAGTGACTACAAACCGTTACCCTCACACTGCGGAAAGTTGCCCTTGAGTGTCCCCGTGAGCTACGGGTACTTGCCCGTTTTCACCTCCAGGAAAGGCTACTTCCAAAGTCGAGGATTTGCCACACTGAATGCTGGTCGCACACAACAAGCAGGCCGAAACCCAAAGAACCACAGACACAGGTAGGTTAGAGAATATGATGCACTTCCATCTCTCCTAGAGCTAAACACCCCTCCATCCTGGATAAAGGAATGTCACTGGGACCCAATGCCCAGTCGTCCATGTCTGTGGCCTACTTGAAAATGCCGATACCAACACCGAGCAGTTACCTCCCCTTTGGGGGCTAGGTTTTTCACCTCCCAGGACGAGGCTACTTCCAAAGTCGAGGATATGCCTCACAAAATGTCAGTCGAACACAACAGGTAGGACGAGCCCGAAGAACTCAAGTCACAACCACAAGCTACAGGCAGGTGAAAGATCTATGAACTTAATCAACACTAGCAGAGCTGAACACCCCACCACCCTGAATGGAGGAAATGTCACTGGGAACTCTCACTTTGGGTACAACCCAAAGAGGCTGGCTTGCCCAGTCGTCCATAGCTTGTGGCCTACCTGAAGTGCCGGTTCCAACACCGGGCAATTACCTCCCCTCTGGGAGAGCTAGGGTCCGCGTGGTCGCCAGGCCACGTACCCACGCAAGCGTGGGCCCCCTGCGGGAAAAAATCAGGGAAAATAATTTACCTAATAGTAAATATAGTATTTGTGTAAGTTTAATGCATCTCTGATTCCTTATCTTTACATTTTTACACTTGCCACTGATTAAGTAAACATATTTTGTAATAATAATGTGGAAGTTATAAAAAAAACCTGTAAGTCAGGAAGAACAGTCATCAATACACAGTCAACCATTTTGGAACATAAAACATAAAACATGAACCTTTCAAGTGTCTACAGCCAAATCATAATAGGATGTAAGAAACCTATAAGAAAGTATTGGTGATTGGCGGTGTTTTAAACTTCAGCCTCGAGAACATAAGTTCCCCCCATCAGACCAGTTGTGCCCCTACTCTAATATAAAAAAAACATTAAATCAAACAAAGGTAAGGATTATAGTATACAAGAAATATTCCAATGATATTTTGGTTTTTTCAGATGGATCACTTCAAAGCATGACTACTTCTTGAAGCAGGGAATCAATGGCCCAACACCCACCATCCCTACAGGTTCTTGGAGAAGAGCTTGGAAACTGGTGAGAAAAACATTATAATCAGAAGAAGGTCTCTTGCTATAAGGAGAAGGTCCCTTATAGCAAGAGACCTTCTTTTCTACTCTCCATTAGTCAGTAATCAATAGGCTATCCTTCTCATTTCCTCCCCCCCCCCTTGCCATTGATACAAATTATGCTACAATAAAAAAATAAACAGTATTATTCTTCACCAGCATTTATTTGAAGTTTTATTTTACTTTTAAGATTAAACATTTAAAAGTGTTAGTGATTTTTTTAGGCGGGTAACACCTTGATGTGACTTGAACCGTGCACTTGATACGCAAAACCAACCAGTCTGTGTTTTGAGAGTCGCACAATTTCATGCAGCACCGACACATGTACAGTAACCAATTCTTGTCAGTTGAATCTTCATAGGCTGAGTATTGTGTTGTATTGTAACGAGAGAATGTGCCTTTGCCAAACAACAACCTAGGAGCCATGTTAGTAAATCGTGAGTTTGTCCTATTTGTGGAGCTGGAGGAGTTTTCTGATCTGTGCAACCATCATCGTCTGAAATCTCACAGCAATAGAAATGAACAAAACAAGGCCTGGAGGGCTGTAGCAACTGAGCAATAACAAAGATTTGTCCTCACCATTTGACATCTTGTCTTCAACTCGAAATTCTCCTTTGTTAGCGTCTAGCATGATTTTATGACTAGCATAGAGTGTAAGCGCTTGCCACAGGCATCCGACTTGCATGTTGCGAGCTGGTTGCGAGTTGCAAAAATATGCACGCTGCACTTTTACTCCATACATCTTTCGTCGCACCAGTTTGTAACCCGCCTTACACTTAGAGCCTTAGAGAGAGGCCCCATAAAGCTGATTCTCTGTGTTCCACCTCAAGTATACGAACCATGGCTTTGTGGAAATATCAGATATTTGATTTAATTTAATGCTAGTTTGTAGTAATTAACAAGGAATAAGGTTTGCAATTTATTGTGTATGTAAAATCTATATATTCAATAGGCCAACATGAATTTTGGGATGATTGTTTTGAAGCTGCTACGCGTCCAATCATCAAGTTTAAGGTGTCGTTGGGTAGGTTGTGGCACGTACATTTGCCATCAAACAAGACCTTTTTGAAATTTGATCAGGGCTCTGCCCCTGTGGCCTTCAAAGATCCTGTGTTATCCTTATGGGGAAAATAAATGTTTATATGAATACTTTGAAATTTACACTAACATTTTAAATAGCACTAACAAATTAAATCAAAATTGAAATTGGTAGAAACATGTGCCATCTATATATTTAATACGCGACATGAAACTTTGTGAACAATAAGGCTTTTTTGTTTTAAGATTTAACCCCACATGTTATATACCAAAATGTTTGTCTAGGTGTCTAGATGTGCAAACTGGCTTTAGATTTTCGAAATATATCTTTTTAAGGGCGTGGGCTGCCCTCAAAGTTCCTTCCATAAGGATAACATTGTGATTGATTTTAATGTTATTATATTCTGAAACAGATGTCAATATATAAGTTTAAAAATCCCAGCTGTTTTGTTTGGTTTTAAAATGTAAACAGTTTGAATGTTTTTAAAAATAATTAGAAACCCGGCAAAGAAATGTTACCTATAGGACATGACGGAAGAAAAGTTTTACATTTCACGACAAAAAAATATTGCCGGTCGGACACGGCGAGTCAACATACAGCACGCAATGCAAAACGCGAGGAGCCCAGACGAGGAGCTGGAACAGTTAGTGGCAACGTGTACTTACAAAATTACACTGACAAATACGAAAATTCAGCCGCATTCACTAGGCGAAATGGCATTAAAATGTCAGAAATGTGGTGTGCTACATTTTAAAGAAGAACAAAGAGGACGAGGCGAAGGATTTTCTTCCTGCTGCCATAAAGGGAAAGTGAATCTACCACCATACAGAGAAAGCTATTATATCCAGAGCCTACTTAATGGAGCAAATCATTTGAGCAGAAACTACAAAGAGAACATTAGATCGTATAACTCTGGGCTCGCAATGGTCGAGCTAAAATTGAAGAAAATAACAGTGGAGGCTTTTATGTATAAGGTGTACGACACAATTTATCAATCAATTGGCACTACTGAACAGCAAAAATAACTTAGAATGCATATAGCCAACGATCGAGCTCAAGACCAACGTCGATTCAACGACGCAGCTTCTAACGACGTTGCTATAATATCCTAATTTATTATTCGTGCGAATTCGCGCTGGTTCACCTAGTAAGGATTTATTAGATTAGTTGAAAAGATCAATATTTAGGCCTACTCTATTTTTGTGGTTTAAAACTTGTTGTTTCACTGCATGACAATTTTGGTTACACGAATTTAAATATTAAGATACAGTATTTATACTATTTGTGGTATATTGGTATATTCAAGATCTTTGGTTTGCTGAAACTAAAATAATAACAGGATATCAAAGGAACAATAATTTTTTATCGATTTCCATACATTGTAAGGGATGGCAACTACATTCGTCTCCTGTATGATTATTTAAGATAGGTGCTCAAGAATAATGATCAGACGTTCTTGATATTAGTTTTGAATATGTTTATCATGATTTAAAAGAATATTTGATTATATCGAATAGGTAAGGATGATCGGGTTCGTGCATTTGCCGCGATCACAGAAGACTATGACTATGCTGACGTTTCCGTGACCGCGGGAGGCGATGATACAAACCGCAAGATATATTCAGGATTTCGCCACCATCGCGGGAAACAATGTTTTTTATGTAATTATGATGATAATAAAAACGATAATGATATTAAGGATTATTATTTTTGCAACACTAGCTCACTGAACTTTGGAAGAATTATACAAATTTATATATGAGAGCACATTTAAGCTGTAGACCTTGAATTAATTGGTTATAGCTTACAGCTTAACATTTTCACGGTAACCAGGAAATAACTTTTAAAATCCAGGAAAAACCTGGAATTCCACTTTTAAAACATAGTATATTCCCTGAATTACTAATTGTTTTTTATGTTTGGTTTGTGGAGAAGTAAAATTTGAATTGATAGATATTAAGTTGGAATGGTCCAGTATGAGTTTTGTGATAGTTGTTTTTACGCGGCCATACAACCAATCACCATATCAAGCAATCACACAAATAAATAATACAGTATGAGATTTTTGAAATGTAAAGGAGAATTGAAGGCTTTTCCCTTAGCGAGACGGTTATGGGACGCTGGAAACTCAGAATTTGGATACGTTGTAATTGATATACTGTACCACAAAATCTAATTGGTTCAGACAATCCTGATGCTAATATTTACGGGAACGTGTATGCAATCCTTAAGAACAAAGACCGCGCCATTTTGTGTTTTAAAAACTAAGACTGCTACGGAATTAATAGTATAGCGCGATCATGGACAATATTCCTGGTCAGTGCCAACAATAATTAAACTGCGATAAGGTACTTCGGAAAACGACGTGACACTGGGCAAAATAGTTATCTTACCTAATTTTGTAATAGCCTGTCTGTTAGCGGTCTACCACCTCATATACTCAATTTCAAGAAAAACGCCATTGTTATGTTATTCAGAAATCCTGATTTGGCGTCAGTCTTGATTATCGTGTATGCGTGTTAATAAAATGTATCGAGTGTGGTGTGAGGTAGTCGGGGCTCATCAGTCATCATGGCATCATTGTCATCATCGGGATTTAACACCATCACCTGGCAAGTAAATACTGATTCCTTGGATCAAACTGCAGCTATTTAATTATCTCCTTCCTTTTACTCTTGAAAGATTTGTTCCCTCCTTCGCTTGTCATGAACATCAGTAAATCTTAAGCACAGTCCTTATGTTTCGCTGGAAAAGTGTTCAAAGAACCAGCCTTTGTCCATGAAATACACACTTGGTGCACACGTCGAATCATTTACAGATTTTTAAACAATCAAAATCATTATTGCACTCTATATAGAATCAAATTAAACCCGAAAGAATTATTTAAGTTAAAGAAGATTAATCAAACAAAACGAGAATCTTTTACCGACTTACACAAAAAATGGCAAAGCGACTACTTTTACTGTCACGTAAACTGCGAACTCAATTAGGCTTTCCGCCATCCCCAACTCTACTAACAAAACCAAAATACCTGAAAACGCAAAAAAATCTATAAAAAGTCCTGCTTCTCCTGTGTCTAGATAACGCACGATTCCGTGCGCCAGGTTAGCTAGTTAAGTAAGTTAGTCATTATTAACTAAGGTTTGACTATGCTGGAGTGCAATTGATACAACAGAGTGTTCTACGTCCCTTTGGTAAAAAACCGAATCAAAACTATAAGCCGTTTCCTGTCAGTAACACATTTGACACAAGATAACCATTTATTCATTGAAACCTACATTAAAGAAAAAATAAGAGATTATGGATGACGTTCCATAAACGTAAAATGGTACTGAAAAATGAGTCATTTGTAGACTATATTTTTCCCGTGTAGTGGGTAAAAAAGCTTTAAAATAACACATCATTTATGAAAATTGTTATAGAAATATGGAAGCTATGGCCTACAAAAAAAAGCAGGATTGGAAATGAGCAGTTACTAGAGTTTTGGTTATAGAGTTTGTTTATAGTTTTTGATATTACTGTACCAATTTTAACCCATATTGTTTAAAAGAGAGTCAATCTCTCAACCACCATAAAAGTACACCATTGCATTGCACTGATGGTCAATACGCCTAACAAGTCAAATAACGATCACAAAAGCCTTTTCTGCCAGCAACAGCCTTTCTATTTTCATACATGAACTTTAAGTTTTATTTGACTGAACTCTACACTTAGTAGTACAGGTAAAATAATACAAAAACACTCCATATAAACAACAAAATTTGTACATTCATGAAATTTCACACGTAAGTTACTAATAATATGAGAAATGAAGATCCGACGAGTCCCCAAAATTTTGGGCGTCCTAAGGCCCTTTTTGGGGCCCTTTTTGATCCGAAGGGCCCTTGTTCCTAAATAATTTTGTTTTTACGTTTAAGGTCGAGTGAGGTGTGGTTTTCGACGGTTTTAGTTATTTTAAATCGATTGGGACTAGTTTTAAGTGTATTAAACCACTCAATACAGGGTGTTTCGAAATATTAATACTTTTTACAATCGCAGAGGATACGCGTCCGGTAACCGGACGTGGATTAGGCGTCCGGCAGTTACTGTCATAACCTAACCTAACCAACCTAACTTGCTGATAATAAAAAAATCAAATGAAGGTTCAATTTTCTTCATAACATAAAATTATAAATGCCAAAAATTCTAACAAAAGATGTACAGTTAAGAAAAAATTACATTCAAAGCAAAATCTGTGACAAAAAGTTAAATTATCCGATGGGGATCGAACCAGGGACCTCTTGGATATCAGCCGAGCACTCTATCCACTACACCACGAACAACGCTGGCAGAACATCGTATCGTTGTGGAAATGGCGTTCCGGGACCCCAAAGCCCGGTGACGTCACTACCGGACGTCTAATCCACGTCTGGTTACCGGACGCGTATCCTCTGTGTTTTACAATATTTAAAGATTTATTCATAAAGTAGTAAAATTAGTTTTACCCCCATGCTCTATATAAATGGGATTATTGAAAATAACTTTAATTCTTTACCATATAAGAGGGAAGGATCACAAGGAGTAAGAGAAAATATTAAATACCCCCGTCACAGCAAACCTGCAGACTAAGCGAATGTTTTTGCCTGATTTTCAATTAAATCTAAAATAGCATTGAGTTTAATGAATACTTTGGTTTGCTGCTAAAAGGAGGCTAATAAAGTGTGTTAATAGTAATAGCCTAGTATAAAACAAATAAATTTGACAAGTTTTATTAAGACATATCTATAAACAAACAATCAAAATCATTCTACACTATTCTCCGAATAACATGGAATTTTAAATTTACAATTTTTGAATTTCATTCGTAACTAATACACTTACAAAACACGTTAATATACTAAATTATTTGTTTTCTTTAAGCTCTTTAAAATGCTCTAGAGAAAATTTGGGAAACTTTGTGATTTGAGGGTCGAAGATTACAAATTTTTACCACATAAAACCCTGTTCCATGGACCGATTATGCCGGGTTTGTTAAAATTAGACCAAAACTACTTGAGTTATCATGTTTACGGACACTTATATAACATGGATATTTTATATTATATATATGTATATAAACACATATATAATATTTTGAGTGGATGGTGCTTTAGGCTTCTGGGGGCATTGAAATGAAAACGTAAATCGGTTTCGGGTCTATGTTTTACCATAAGACCTTCGGTAATAGCTTATTTCCTATATGGGAAGTTAAAGGGGGATAAGTTATCCCCCATAAGGGAGGGGTGTTAGGTTATATGGCGGGTAAAAGGGTTTGGATTAAGTTTTACACTATAAATAAGATAGGTTACTACGCAAAAATTACAACTTTTAAGGTGATGTGAATAATCTTTCAATGTGTTTTTATGCTAATCTATTAAGACCAATTTAAAATTGATATCTATTTTTCTTAGGTAGTTATTTAAGTTATTTTTTTACTTTTATTAAAAATTAAAACAATTGTATTTGTATAAAACCTTACATTACATATTAAAATGACTTAAACTAAAAATTTACTTAAACTAATGCTATTTTTCTACAATTTCCGTAGTATCTCTCTCTTCAATTTTATTATCACAATAATTATTCTCAGACGACTCATTAACAATTTTATTATTCTTTAGCAACTTGTCCATCTTTACTGATTTTGTCCAAGTTGGTGTTCATGCGGGATTCCCCTTTACAAACCTTGCATATTGCAGAACACGCAACACCAATCTTAAAGCACGAACAATGTGTTGCAAAAACACCTTTCATACATACTGACGTTTGCAACTTGTATCTTAGGTTCCTCAAAATTATTTTCATTCAATACAAGTACGGTTGTCTTTGATGGTTATGACGACCAGGACAGCACTAAGACATCAGAACAGCATCGTCGGCACAAGCATTTTTGTCCTGAACAATGGGAACGAGGTTTATGGGGTAAAAATTAAGTTTTCTTACATACTTTACCCTTAAAACACAAAGTTTCCCAATTTTTCTCCAGAACATTTTAAATAGCTTAAAAACAAATAATTTAGTAGGCTATATTAATGTGTTTTTGTATGGTTATTAGTTACGGATAAAAATACTAAAATTTTAAATTTAAAATTCCCATGTTATTCTTATGTAGAATAGTGTAAATTGATTTTGTTTGTTTGTTAATAGATATATCTTGATCAAACTTGTCTAATTTATTTGTTTTATACTAGGCTATTAATATTTTTCTATTAACACGTTTTATTAGCCTCCTTGTAGCAGCAAACCTAGGAAATCGTTCAACGCAATGCTATTTTAAATTTAATTGAAAATCAAGTAAGTAAAACGGAATTCGCTAGGTCTGCAGGTTTGCTGTGACGTGGGTACTTAATATTTTCTCTTACTCCTTGTTATCCTTTACCCTTACGTAGTAAAGAATTACAATTGTTTTAAATAATCCCCTTTTATATAGAGCATGGAGGTAACTAATTTCATTACTTTATGAATAAATGTTTAAATATCGTTAAAAGTAATAATATTTCGAAACACCCTGTATGGAGTGGTTTAATACACTTAAAACTAGTCCCAATCGATTTAAAATAACTAAAACCATCGAAAACCACACCTCACTCGACCTTAAACGTAAAAACAAAATTATTCAGGAACAAGGGCCCTTCGGATCAAAAAGGGCCCCAAAAAGGGCCTTAGGACGCCCAAAATTTTGGGGACTCGTCGGATCTTCATTTCTCATATTATTAGTAACTTACGTGTGAAATTTCATGAATGTACAAATTTTGTTGTTTATAAAACCCTATTTTACCTGTACTATAGGCTTAACTTTGCTGGTTATTAGGTCTTACAAATCTGTATAAACCAGACAACTGACAAGCTCAATAAGGCCTTTTGAAAGACTTATGACATTATTAAGGGCATAACTAGTAATGGATGTGGTTTATCTTATAAAAATATTTTGTTAGCTCTTAAAATAGTAAGGAATATCTTTATATATGTTTATAACTACATAAACAATTTCTTCAGCTTACCCTCTCTTGAAATAAATTCTGACTAAGTTACTGTTAATATACGAGGTAGATTTGTTTATAAAATAATATTTCTTTTATTTGTAGCAAGCTGGAGAAGAGGATTTGGCAAGACTGAAAAGATACGGAAAGGTTCACGGGTGAGTTATAACAATTATCAAAAGAACCATGATGTACGTTCTGTTGCACACATTCATTATATACGAGCTGTTGGCCCGTCCTAAGTACAGGAATCTAGTAGTCAATTAAAACGTAATTTAATTCGGAACAGCTAGTTTACATGCATAAAGAAAAATTCGGACAGTTTTAATGGAGAAAATCATCTTATAAACAAATGTCATATAAGACCACCCATTTATTTTATCAGATTATATGTCTATGCTATATGCATTTTAAATCCGATAATTTCACAATAAAACTGCAGTTGTGTTAATTTTAAAAGTCTTCAAGTGGTTGATTCAGAATCGTGAAAAACCCCTGTCACGTTTTAATAAGATTACCCTTACCCACCTTTATTGAATCCACGTACATTGTAATTTTCGATATTAATTTATTTAACACGTTCTCTCCAATTTTTTTACCGATTTATTAAGTTTTTGAAAACTTTGACGTGTACCATTGGTGGTACACGCGGTGACCCCCAAAACTCTGACAATCGCCACCGTTACTATGGCAATTGTACGCAACAAAACGGCATTTCTGAGTCTTTGTGAGTGTTTTTACTATGTATTTGTGTTTGTAGAAGCCACATGAAAAGTGTCCACGGTTGGTATATGAACCAAATTCAGGTTACGTAATAAAACACCCAAGTTACAAAAAAGTATTTTATTTATTTAAACTAAAAAAGCTTTTTTAAATATCAAAAACTGAACTAAAAAGTAATTTTTTAATGCTCAATCTCTGTTTTTAAGTTCATGGAATAACATGATGACATGATGACAGGTTGACATGTATCAGGGGTGGTACATGGTTTAATAGCATATAATTGTTATCTTACTTTGTTACTGAATCTGTACAAGTAGTGTTATTATATCTATAATTATTTGTATAACACACTTTCGTTTTTTAGTCTATGATTATTTGCACACAAATTTACTTCTGACTGAAATTTCATTCGTGCACCACCGGTGGCGTTGTCGGAGCGAGCGTGTTAACCTATAACACATTTAGTTATAGTTATAGTTATAGTTGTAGTTACAGTTGATATTATCAATATTTCCATTCCTAATCCAAAGCAAAGTTTCAGCAATCACACATTTATTGTAAACAACAAAATGCTACCTAGATGAAATAAAACAAGTAAACATTGTTATTTTCCTATTCTTTCCTCAAAAAGTCAAGCAGTAAAATAATTTGCATAAGCCTTCCTTTAAAGACTCGGAGGCAGAGCCTCGATTTTTATATGGCAATGGTTATGGAATCTGACTTATTTCTGATAATCAATGACAAAATTACAAAGTAAATAAACTAACCTCATATCGTAGTAGTATAGTTTGTCGCCGCCGTTTTTTGGGGTTCGACATTTTTGGGCCAACTCCCCCGCCCCATGCCGAATTGCTAGTACATCTAAGAAAAAAGTAATAAAAACTTTTAACTTTGTAATTTGTTTATTTTAGAACTTTTGATGGCCCCATCCCCAACCTAATAATAGCAGAGCCTCAACTGATAAGACAAGTTCTTCATGAACAGTCAAGCAAATACCGCAGTAGAAGGGTAAGTTATCTACCTACTTTATCACTAAATGTGGCCATATGAAAATTGTGCAAAATTTTCGGGTGACAACATTATGTAGGAAGAGGGAATCAGATTATCACTATATGTTGCCATATTAAACAAAACTCTTTACAATTACACAAAAACCATACCTCCATTGTGTTGTGTGACACCATATTCATTCTAATAGAGAAGAGAATCAAATTTCAGCTTGTCTATAAGAAAATGTCATCTGATCAACTCCCTGATACTTATGATTACTCACACTTGTGAATTTTACAGATTTTTATTTGTTTACTAGCTGTGTGCCCGTTCTACGCACGGGGATCTTATTGTAGTCAGTTATTGAAACCTTTTTATTAAGAACAGAATTTGGTTTGCATATTTTCAGATATGCTGGCAAAACTATTATATATAAACCTTCGCAAATATAGTATCTGACAGTTTCAAGCCAAAACAAATGCTTCGAAATTAAATGTAACCTGGGTCGTGTTGGTCCATATGTTAAATCCAATGAATAAACTAAAAAATGCTTTATAGATCTATGAGGCATAGCCCTAATGTAGGCCTATAATTGAAAGTTACCTTCCACAATGGTTAAAAGTATTTAAGGTACTACCTCAAACTCCCAATTTAACACTTTATTCGTGTTGACATTTTCATTATAAAGGTGCTTTTGTCCTTTCCGTGAAACACTGAGAAATAAGGACATTAATGCTTTACTAACAGACATACACACAAAAATACAGAACTTAATTAGGGGATTTGCTACGCTTTAAGCATAACAAAGTACTTGTAAAATTAGTATCTGAAATATTTTGTTAATGTCATCAAATTTCATCATAACAATGTATATTTGCTTGGGCCGATGATGACCCGAAATGACGGCTTACTATATGAAATGAAGTACTATAGACGATTGGTAATTTATAGTAAATATTACCAAAATAGGCTACGAACTATTGATACATAAACAACGTAAGGCGTTTAAACAATTCATTATGGTTTGCTGAATAAATGTTTTACTAAAATGCGTTATCGTTTTCTTAGCATAAACTAACATTTTGGAATCAAGAAAGAAAAAGCAAAAATTGTACAGTTAAGACATCAATTAAATTGAATACGCCTGTAATAATAAATAAGGTGCAACACCAACGATAACTAATTTGTAAAGTACAGTGATGTGTTGGTGCTTAAAAATGATTCTTGCTACTACCAACAGTACCAACGGTTCTAAGGAATAGAACCGGTACCAAAAACCAACGTTCACAGTTGAGAACTATAGTACAACCGACCAATTATATGAGTTAATCAAGTCCCGAGGTTATTGATCTCTTGGTTTTGGATTTTCTCGTAAAACGTTTTAAAACGGCAATCAAAGTTATTTCCCATTAATTGCTTTATTTGTAAACAACTTTTAATGTAAACTTATCGGTGTCAGTTTGAAAAAAAAACCAACCTCATACAAACAACTTTTTGTTATTTAATAGATTACGTACCTATTCTCTAAACAATGATTGGTACAGGCTATCTAATAACATTAGAAGGAAATGTGACAAAAATTACTCAACGTTGGGTTTTTGGACGTTTGTAATTTTATTTCTTAAGTAGGTAGGCCGTGTATTCTAGGGAAAAGTACCGGTATCAAGGATCGTCGTCGAACAGTTAGTTATGAATAATTGGGTAGGCGTACGTACCCAAGAGATGGGCTATGGGCCTATTGGCTGTATGGTCCAGCGATTGCATCACACGGTGAGTAGGTACTATTGACTTAGGAACAGAAAATAACACATTAGAAAAGCGAGTTTAGCATCATCCGTAAACCTCTGTTACAATCACCCACTGCAGTTGTGTTTTTTTACTTTACACAACCGCAATTGAAGCGCCGTGTCAATGAGTGGAAACCATATTTCTAAGCCATTGGCGACGATCATTATTAAATTTAAAGTTTCCCAGCCGTATACAACACTGATTCAAGGTCTTCTTTCTGGTTATCAAAACTCAAGAACAATTTATACACAAAGAATCTCTGGTTCCTGAACTGGATATTTACACGGTTACACTATTACACTATATTATTGCACTTTCGATTAATTAAATCCGTTATGTAAGAAAAACGTTTTTAATCACTTGGGATTTACATTCAAAACGTGATTGAAAAAGGTTGCGGTATTTGTAAACAACATTTGTAAACATATCAGTGACAGCTAGGAAAAATAATCTTGATCCGAACAGCTGTTCGTTATTTCATAGATGATTATGCAATAAAAATTGGACGAAAACTTGACATAAATCGCACAAAACTACATTTTTGAACGTCCGTAATTTTATTTACAAAGTAGTGAGGCCATATTTTAATGGCTAAAGACAATCTCGCCAATCCAGTGAATACATTAAAATGACTTGGATCTTGATAGGTGAGTGAAAATTTAAAAACGTACGTTTTCATGTCCCTGGCCTTTTACTTCGTAGATACTGGATTTGTAGTTTATTATTATGTGTTTTAATATTTTTTGGGACGGGGGCAACATGTTACACACATTTATTTAGTTTTAAATAGGTTCTAGGTATTTTTTTCGTATTTTTAAAGTCTCGAAATTCACGACCATGACGTGTCCCTAGGGTACATTTTCCAACTTTCACGCTGTTTTTAGACTAATTATTCTTACCGAAATATATAAAGCCATATTTTTATGTCATCAATGGTTATTAAACTTACAAAAAAGGAGCATATTATAATTTTATTGTCATTGCAGACTGACTACCATGATAAAATAAGTCTGTCCCTCGATTTGGCGTCACGACCATTTGGGGAAAATTTTCAACTTTGGAGCACGACAGTGGCAAGCCTGGCGTCGATGGAGTCAGTTGGTTTTAGAGACTAGTTCGGGGTGTACGTCAGGATTGTAGTGCCGGTCGTTTTGAGTTGAAATGAGGAATTACAAGATTAATAAAGGAAAGATTGTGTTTTTTGTAATTTTGGTGTGTCCATGACCGTACGTAGTCATTCGATGAAGTAGACATGGTGTTAATTTTTGTTTATAAGATATTTCAATTGCTAGATCAACCTAGAAGTCCACTTTGTATCCTCGAACATGAGGTGCAGGGCTACCGCCAGAACAGAGCCAAGTAACACGTAATTTCACGACCAAAGGTTCACGACCATCGCGGTTTTTTTCACGACCAATCCAGCCTTATGGATTATAGTGTGTTTGGTCGTGACAATATCTTCAATATAATTGTAAATTGAACAGTTTAGTTCAATTGAAACACATAGTTTTATTATAACTAACAGTATAATTGAAGGATTGTTTGGAAATATTTAGATTATTCCAGACAATTCACGACCGTACCGCTTGTCCCTGACCATCACGTTTATGATTTCTATCATAAAAATTTCAAAAATTAAAATATCGTCATATTTCAATGTTTTATACACAAAAGAAGCACACCTCTATACAAACATAACGATTTTTCGGGTCTCGGGTAAGTTTTTTCGGAGTTATACAAACTTAAAAAGATTTTATTGGCTTTTTTCTATTTTTTGAGTTTTTTAAATTTTTTTCTAGAAAGACCAAATATACTAAAAGCTCAGTGACCTTTTTATTGTATAATGGTCATAAAAGTAAATTAGTTTATAGCAAAACATAGTTATAAAAATAATATTAACTATTTTTAATATTCATTTAAACGTCCGTTATGGTCGTGACAGGATTTTGTGTTTTTCTACTAAAGATGCTCTTTAAAAAGAAAACTACCAAAGATATTGCGTTACCATGGACATTTTATGAAACTTAAAATGTTGATGAAATAAAAATAATAATAAAAGTTTTGAAAAAAGGGGAAAAAATTTTGCAAAGTGCTTTTCCTGAAAACGTACGTTTTTAAATTTTCACTCAGGTACTCTCGTTTTCCAGGAGAAGATAGCGTAAAATGCCATCTTGAGTGTTACAGACAAAGGGAAAGACAGACAGACAGACAGACAGACAGACAGACAGAAATTGAGATAAGACTCGTTTCTGCTTATTTAATGTAAAAGACGTAAAAATAACCTAAAAATATATAATTCTGAGCAATGTACGGACAAAACTCTAATTTTATTTATATAGATAGAAGATAGATACAAGGAAATGTGTTTTTATTGCAAAAACATTTATCCACTCCCTCAATTCAGACCTGCAGTCTGCACCAGTTCTACTACTACTTGCATCTCAATAAGTCTTGCTTTGTCACATGAGTTGAGCTATTTCCAGTTTTCTATATTTGCCTCTTGTTCTCCAGCTGTCTACAAGACTGTATGTGCTTGTTTCATTCTCCAGTAGTCTCTGCTTCCAAAATTCTCTACCAGTTATAAACATGGTTATACTCTTTTAGCGAATTCCCTATATAGGAAATATAAGTTATATAAACAAAGGTGTCATATATCGTAAGACCTAGACCTGGGACTGATTTACTTTTTCATCCCCAGAGCAAAGGCCAAAAACACCATACCTTCAAAAATCATATGTATTGGTACTATGTGAGTGTCTTTTAACACGTTAACTTGAGTAAAAAAAAAATAATCATCTGTTCATTCAATGTTTCATTCCAGACCTAAGCTGCTTGTTAACCCATAAATTTATTTCTTTATTTATAAACCTTATCTTCATTATCAGATTTCACAAAACCTTTGGCTGTTGCATATATATTGCTTCTTCCAATTGTCCAATTGAAAAGGCTGTTTTTCCACCAAAATAATGCACAGTCAGCTCTTTTGTTGTTGCCAAGGTTAGTAAAATTCCGTACGCCTTGGTAAATTCTTACTGTTGTTCACTTAAGCTGGGTTTTCCTAGGCGCGGAGTCGGCGAGCGGAGAGAGGAACGCGGAGAGCGGAATTGAAATTAACATGGCATTCCGCTCCGCTTCTAGGAAAACAGTAACATTAAATTGCCTAAGACAAGTGGAGTCCGCTCTCCGCGTTCCTCTCTCCGCTCGCCGACTACGCGCCTAGGAAAACCCAG